GATAGATAGATAGATAGATAGATAGATAGATAGATAGATAGATAGATAGATATTTTAACCAGATGAAATTGTCAAGAGTTCTGCCACCTTCTCTTTCCAACCAAGTAACAGGAAAAAGTAGTATCTATTGTGCTGTTTGTTTTTCTATCAGGACAGAAGGGGTAAAGAGGAAGAAGTATTTACTAATCAAAGGTCATGGAAAATGTGGTCCAGAGAGAATATCAGCTCACCATCATGGCCAAAGAGAAGAAAAAGGGCTGAAAATCCAAAAATGGATTCTAAATGCAGTTTCATTTCTAACTTAAAGCAGCAGTCAAAAAACACTGAATAAACTGTACCATCCAGTAATTAAGCAGTTATAGTATATTTATTCAGAATTGTACAGTATATTAGAAGCTGGATAATAATTATATCAACCACCCACTTTAAATTTAGTTTTTTAAACGCAGACCTGACTACTGTACAATTTGCTTCAAAGCAATGGGTACCATGATACCCCCCAGAGAAGGATAAATTGCTGAAGAATCTAAATCCCTGCTGATGTAAATTTGTCAGGGTAAAAGACGAATTTCTATGACTCTTTGGCTCCTTATTGTGGGAGGGAAATATTATATGAACTCCGAGGAAGGAAAAAAAATGGCAACTCTATGAATTATGTTCAAGGCCTAGAGAACTTGGGAAACTACCAGATTCATACAAGCTCACCTGTATTTACTCTCTTCCTACAACTTTTCTTGGTCCTTTCTTAGATAGGAGCTTCACTGATATGAAAAGGCACTGACATTGAAAGCTTATGGGGAATGGAGCATAACTTCCCTTTTTAATATTAACGCTTTGTCTCTGCTCTTTGGTATGTCTGAAAAGCTCTATAGCTGATGAGTCCACACTCCCAAAGCAACTGAAGTTTAGATGATTGTTTATTAGAGTTCATCAATCCTTATTTTATTGTTTGGAAGAGCAACATAGATGATAAAAGAAACCAGAAGGTTCTGTTCTTGGATATGCAGATTGGAACAAAATGACTTTTCTTAAAAGAAAAAAACAGTCAGTTTGTCCATAAAATAGACATAAAAGGAGATACCTTTCAAATGAACAAAGGACTGCCAGACATAGGACATCACAGGCAACGTATTCCTTTGATGGCTGTTTACAACATCTACCCAAAACAGCTTTTTAAAAAAGCTGGAGAATGTGTTAGGAAGACAGCCTCAGAAAGATAATTTTTATTGAAAGTTGCTTAAATATCAATTATGGAAAATTTAGTTTAGTTTTAAGAAAGATGTGCTTTTATCCTTCCAAAATAAGTCCGATTAACCAATATTGATAACAATGCATAATCAACTACTTTGTGATGGTATTACATGCAAGAATGTTTGGGTGCTTAATTGGCAGACTGCAAGATAGCCTATAGCAAGTTAATTAGATACTAATTAGGCCTCCAAAATACTAATCAAAAATACTAAGTGGCATTTAATAAGTATGTTAAGTATCCTTCTTAACGTTGGTTATCTCATTTGGCAGCAATTAAATTTTCAAACTCCTCTGGAGTAGATTAAGAAGCAAGTTTTAATTATTTAAATTCAATTTAATTAATGCAAATCTGAATTAATTACAATTCAGAATTAAGCACACAAGTCAAGTCTTCCATACAAGTATTATCTTTTTGTAAATATATTTTAACAGATAAGCTTGGAGCCATGAAAACAAATTTTAATTAAAGGAAAACTAAGATAGGTCTTATTTTAAAAGAGCTGATGATCAAATAACTGTAAACTAAGAGGATTCTTCAGATTCGTATGCAAGTGAGAGTTTAAGTATCATTAATTGTATTCTCTCTACTGGCTATTCTCTCTATTATCTTAAACAAGAAGCTTCCCTAAGAAAAGCAGTGAAAAAAAAACTTTCATTTTGAAATCCAAGTTGCCATTTCATATTGGAGCACATGGGTGCACTAGTTTCCTACAATAGAGTACATTCAGTAAGTAACAGCCATGGAGATGCATAATTCTTATAAGAGATCCCCATTTAATGCTGCTAAGGAGGAATCATAATTAAATTGGTCTTTTATAGCTAGCTCTGGGATGATAGGAAAAAAAAAACAGAAGCAAAGACATATTTTGCTAGTCTTACTGACTTTTTAGTGGTTGCTTGGAGGGTGGGGGAAACTTGGACTTGTTTATTGTCATGGTTTACATATTACTGTTCAAGGAGAAGGAGGGTCAGATTCTCTACCATTTGTAAATTACACTGTGACTAGTAGGATAGGAAGATCCCATTAAATGAAATTTACAGATAAGACAAAGATCATTAATTGACCCAGGAACAACACTGTGCCATGATTAGTGCTGCTAAAATAGTTAATGAAAAGAAACCTGAAAGCTATGAAACTCTATTAAATAGACTCCCATCAAGAAGTACAAGCAGAAAACAGCAGGAGTGTTTGGCCCTTCCTGATAGAAGACAATAGGTTATATAGCTTTCAGGTAATGAAAGAATGATGACTATAGATTCTGTTAGCATTTGGAGGAAAGAGGCAGGATGGGAACTCTGATGCAGATGTCCGGACTATCTTATCTTAATCCTATTTCACTTCTATTTCACTTCCTGGAACAAAAATAACTATCCAGTTAATCATCTCAAAACTATAGTTCATGTCTTCATTTATGTTCGTACAAATGTTCATTGTCCAATCTGTCCAATCCCATAAGGAGCCAGGAGAATTTTGGGGTTACAACTAGTCTTCCCCAAATTCGTGTTCTAGATGTGTTGGGGTTGCAATTCCCAGAATTTCTACCCAGAGTCCCAGCACCTGGGTGGGCATCTGGAGAGGAAGTAAGACTTGTCACAGCTGTTGGCTCTAGCTCTAAATCCCATAGAAGCAAACAACTTTCTCCCCCTTCTTGATGTGCCTCTTACCTTGTAGCCCTGGTTGATGCCGTTGACAAACTGGGGGCTAGGAGGGTTCCAGGTGAAACGAATGGTAGTAGAATTGGTGGCCTCAGCCTGGACATTACCCGGAGACACCGTGGGAACTGTGGAAAAGAGAAATCGGAAGGAAGCATCTCAGCAACATCTGTAAGGTGCACCCCCAATCTTCCATTTTAAGTTCATCAGCTGTACACTTGGAATCAAGGCTGTAAGAACAAAACTTGACTGAGATTTAAAGGGAGTTGTCTACTGCCTATGGTGTTCTGAATCTTTAGCATGGTACGTTCCTGCTTTTTTAAACCTACCACAACTGCTTTTCAATGTTTCATGGCTACAATGGAAGAAAACAGAACTGGTATGAATGGGCAGGAACTAATCCTCTCACCAACAAAAGTAGGGTTTCCTCTTTCCCTGGATGACTTTGTATCATAACTTACCACCCTGGAGAGTCCATTCTGTGACTCTGGTACTGTAGACACCCAAGCCGGCACTGTTGTAAGCAGCCACTTCAATTTCATAATTAGTCCAAATGATTAGGTCCTCAAGCAGCAGATTGTTGACGTCAGCATTACTAATGTTCCTGAACTGGTAGCCAACTGGCAGACCAGCCAGGCAAAATCTGGAAAAAGAACAACAACAGGATGAGGTCTGAATCAATAAGATCATCTGTAGGAACAGTTAAGCCCAGTGGGCAGCCACTGCTTTTCCAATTTTGCAGCCATCGGTAAAAGATTAAAAAGGCTTCCGAAGATTTATTTGCTCTGATGACCTAGCCGCTACCTAATGATGTATCCCTTGAGAATGCCATTCTGGTGGTTTTCAGGTGGTGGCTGCCACTGGATCATGATAGACTGGTTTGTGCGGCCGCTGGCAATGACATTTTGTGGAGGTGCTGTGGGGGGCTCCTCAGGAAGCAACAACCTATGGAAGGAGACAAAATGTAGGAGGCAGGTTTCAAAGCTGGTTCAGAGTTTAACTTAACACCCACACCTTAACTCTTAAAATTTAGTCCTTATGAAGCCAAATCAATCTCAGCCATATAATGGCATGCCCTAAATACCACCCTGTGTACGCGTGAGCTGCGTTAAAATGGCGCAGCCATTTGCTCACATAAACATTCTTTAACCCAGGGGTCCCCAACCCCCAGGCTACGGCCCACCACTGGTCTGTGGCCTATTCGGACTTGGGCCGTGTGAGCTCAACTTCCAAAAGCAGTGAGCCAGTGGGCATTCATGCACCAGCCTGCTGCTCGTGCAAGGGACTGCATGTGCATTGACCCACTGCTTGTGCAAGGGCTGTGTGCACATGTGTGCACCAGCATGCCGCTCACATGGCCCAGTTCCCCTCTCTCTCCAGCCACGCCGCCAAACCTCAAAGGTTGGGGACAGCTGCTTTAACCCCATCTTAATACCAGTATAAAGAGAGCAGTTATCTGGCTCTGCATGTACATCATACAACACTGGGACATACTGTTGATAATAATCCAAGTCTTGCTGTCTTGCCATGATCACGCTCCCCTTTCTGCATCACCTTTAAACATTAATTAAAGACTGGTTCCCTGGTGCAATCACAGGTATTGCTATACATGAATGTGAGCCAGTACAATGCTCACTCACACATATTTGGTTTCTTCTCCTACAAAAAGGAACCTAGTAGAGATACACCAAAACATTTCCATGCTTAAAATCCTATCAGCCCTTCTACTTTTGCATGTGATTATATCTGAAGCTGCCCATGTTAGATATGGGCACCTCACCTCTCAGTGTCCTTGCTGAACTGGCCTTTGCCCACATCATTAACAGCACAAAGGCGGAACTGGTATGAGCGGGCAGGAACTAATCCTCTCACCAGCACTGAATTTACTTCAGGATCCACACTGGCCATAAGAACTGTCCAGGGAGCATCTGGAAAGAGAAGGAGAGAGAGAGAAGAGAAGTAAGGCATAATCCTATGGAAAATTATTTATGAAGAATTATGACAACACAGTGCATGCTGTCCATCTTTAAAAGAAAAAAAAAAGTTGTTATCTAATCCCTCAGCAGATTCTTTTATGTAGTGGTCCCACGGACCAAATGTTGTCCAGAATTATCCAGTACTTGCAGAGAAAATTCCAAGCCTCCTTCAATCTTACACAGTATCCCATTCTTTAAAAGCCAGGATCCGGTTCTTCTCCTGGCTGCATCCTAAAGATCATTGCTATGGGAAGCAGCTGTGCATGTTTGATCAGGGAAGGAAAACCATCTCAGGGTTTTTCCAGGGATAAAAGAAATCCCTCTGTTCAACACAAGGTAACCCTGCACCTTTGGGTAAGCTTAGCAGTGGCAATGGGCATAAGCAGTATTTTTAAACTATGATGAACTCTTGAGAAAACTTAAAAGAAGAAGCCACAAATTGCAACAAATTTTACTGCCTACAAGACGTCCTCCAGAAAATTAAGACTCCCAAAACATCCATTTCGTTACAGTCCCACCCAGGATTTTCCCCATGACTTTTGAGAAGGGATCATGACTATATGAACATGGGCAAGTTGTATCTGGCAACTGTATGGTAGAAAGATGGTGCAATGCCTTACTGTTTTCGGAAACCTCAAGGATGTAACGTAGCAATGGGCTGTTTCCATCAAAGGGCTTGGTCCATGTCAAGTTGATGGCACGTTTCTCTACAGCACTTAGCCTGGCAATGGGGTTTTCAGGTGCATGTGGGAGCTGCCTGATGAAGATAATAGAAGAACCCATTTTAGAAGCTCACGTAAGAGAGAGCTATGAAAGTAGAGGGCCATTCATTAGGAAGGAAAAACTATGTAGAAAAAGACTTCCAAGCCACTGTGCATTGAAAGTTTAGACTGCCTATCATTGCTGGGGTTTATAATGGAACAAATGCCCTGCTTAATTAATCACAGTGTTAATTCAGTGGGTAAGAGGTTTGTGGAGAAATACACAAAGTGCCCTGGAGATATTTAGAGACCCTTGATTTTTCCAGCCAACAGTGCTGTATAATTTCTGCAGAGCAACTATCAAGATTTTCAGAGAGGAATGGCTTATGCTTATTCAATGAATCAAATGCTATTGATATTCAGGTTTGCAGTGTAAAAGTTGCTTCAATGCAATGTGCTGTAACGCTGCAGACATGCATTTGAATAATAAAGAGTATGATTAGACAATGAATAATATGATTACTGATAATATGATAATAATATGATGATTCAGTAAGGAACACACACGTGGCAGAGTTTCATATCAGTACATGTGCAAATGTCGACAGCAACAGTACCACATTATAATTACTCTTATGCTGCTGAACTAACATTCTGACTACATATCAGTTCATGGTGAGAGAAATTTGAGTCTAACTAGGAGTTGCAGAATGACTCATAAGGAAGTACATTATTATGGTGATTTTAAAAGGCCAGAAAGCATGCTATTTGACTCATATGGTATTTTTGCAAGATATAAAGTAAAATATGAATGTATGGCACTGGAATACTTTGGATCATCTCTTCTAGCAGCCTCACTCACACTTCAGCTAGTTTCTGGTTCATCGGTGTATCAGAATATGTCGGCTCCTCACTTCTAGGACAGGAGTGCACCACTTTCATTATCTGATAGCTGTACTTGGCTTCCGAGTAGCATGCCTAGCCCACGTTCCAAAAAGTATGATTTCGTTTATGTTTTACAATTAGTTAAAAACACATTTAATATGACCCCTCTCAATGTTGTGTATCATAGTCCTCTCCCTCAATCATGCTACACTTAGGTTACTTTGGATGGTCTCGGGTGGCTATAACTGAAGAGTTTTGGGGAACACACCCAGTCCTGGAATTTCAGATTCTATACCTGTACTGAAGAAGGGTAGTCTTACCGAACTCGCAGGTGGGCACTGTGTGAGTCATTGCCTCCAGCAGATATCACATGACATGTATAGGTGCCAATGTCCCCTGACCAGGTCTGGGCAATGTGCAAAGTGCCAGTGGTATCCAGACGCATGCGTGGCATGTTCTCTGTGTTCACAATCGTGCCATCCTTCTCCCACATGTACCTAAGGAAAAAGAAACCAAGCATGGTGATAAAGGTGATAAAGGTTCTGCCCCTGCCAACTATTCCTAGTCTATCCAGATTGCTATTGGAATCTTTGATTGATTCCTGATATCCTAAGCCACGTTGCAAAGAACTAGAAACAGATCATGTCTCAAATCTGATTGCAACGATCCAATTCTTTAATCCTAGTTCTTGTCTAAACTATTTTCTAGAATACTCCAGCTTCTTCTGCACGTGGTGGACTGCTCATCAAGTACTAGCATGTACACTAATACTAATATGTTACACAACCCCCCACCCCATCCTATGGATATTTATGGATGTTAGTTATCTCTTAGTATGCATTTTTACAATGTAGCATATTGTTCACAAATAGGTTTACATATTTGTTTAACCCTAATTTGGAGAATAAATGACAACTAGTTGAGTTCATACTTTGCTCTAAGCTATAACCATATGAACTGCGTTCACACCATGCTAAGCTAAAACAAAACCATATTTTGACAATACGGCTTAATATGATGGCATACCATGATGTTCTTCTTTCCCTCACTAGTGCAACAGAACAATTTGTCTCAGCTTCAAAACTAAGCTAAGCACCAGGTGGCAATATAGGCCTATGGATTTGCATGTAGGTATTTTGCATTATGTTCCTCAGTAAATGTTCTTAAAGTGCATAAAGATGTGGCTAGAAGATTCCTTGCTTTGTCATATTGTAAGACTCCTACATCAATCTTAGAAAAGCATTGTAGATAAATGGAGTCCTGGTTGTTCCCAGATTGCAGAGATGGCTAGAGAGTGTCTCCTTTCAAAGGGGCTAATTTGTATGAAGAAAGGTGCAATGGCCAGATAAGCTGAGGTCAGTAAACTATTCCTTCCCAGCAAGAGAAATATAAGCAAACCCCTATATGCTCCTAAGGAAGTCACCGACAGTATATACAGAATTCTAGCATTGCTTCTAAGCTGAATATTTCTTTTTCTTAAAAAGAAGTTTTGAAATTTAAAGTACAAGGACATTCGAGGTTTTTTTTTTTTTTTAGAATCCTCAACTAATATTCTAAAAATGGATAGTTTTTAAAACTTGGCTCTCATTTCTTTCCTTGTTTTTCCTTCATCTTAACACACATGAGAAATGATCACCTACCGAACTAACACATTGGGGTCATGTGTTACTCCACAAGTCATTGAGGCCTTGGTGCCTTTGATGACACTTTGATCCTGAGGTGGGTTGGTGATACGAGTCCGGGCTGCCAGATAAAGAGACAGAAGACACATTAATATAGTTTGAACACAGATCGAAATGGGATAGGTGAACAGACATAGTTCTTATATCAACTCAGGACTGAAAACCTGGAATTTTAAGGTCTGGTAATAAAGGCATCTTTTTTGTAAGATAAGAAGCAGGAGGCCCCCCCCTCCCCAAAACCAGATCTGTTACATCATAATACCAACGATTAAGCAAGCAAGCAAACAAAAGCAATGCACCCGCCCCAATTGTTTTTGAATGCCTAAAATGAAGGGGCATCAATTCAATTTTCAGCTGTAGCTACTCCCCTCCCCAAACTGTTTGATATATATTATCTAGTGCAACCCAAGCTCTACATTGAAAGAACAAGGGAAAATACAGTTACATTGGATCCTTGCTTCCAACCAAGCAACATCCATCCATCCATCCTCCATCTTCCTTCCTACAGACAAGGTTCACACAATACACCTGAGGGACATGGACAGTACAGAAATGTGAAAATTAAATTAAAATAATAAAAAAACCTGGACCAAATGACAGAGTTTTCTCTCTGTTGTACCAATACCTAAAGTGGAGGGAGGGAGTTAACTATCTCCTTTCAACTACAAATATTTAGATTACAGATGGGGGAGTTATCTCTTTCTGTCCAGCTACTAAAAAGATAGGTTTAGAGCAGCCTTGGAAGAAAAGGGCTTCTCTTGGCATTCTGTCCTGGAGTTATTTTCCTTTTTGTTACCAAGTCTTTGGGCAAATGGTAGCCATGTAAAGAACAGAAAGGGATGTGGGAAGGAGTTGACTCTGTTCAGATCATAGTTGATTTTTAACAACTGGGGTGTTAAACAACTGGGTGTTTTCACTCCACTGGAGTGGAAACATGTTAGGAAATGGCAGCCTCCCAGCCTTCTTAATGGCAACTGGAAGGACAGTGAAAATGGCCACTTCCTATCTGACTCAGTGGTGGGATTCAAATTTTTTTTACTACCGGTTCTGTGGGCGTGGCTTGGTGGGCGTGGCAGGGGAAGGAATACTGTAAAATCTCCAGTCAGAAGTGGGATTTGCCGGTTCTCCGAACTACTCAAAATTTCCGCTATCGGTTCTCCAGAACTGGTCAGAACCTGCTGAATACCACCTCTGCTCTGACTGCTTGGTAACAGCGAGCTATCTACACAGAGAGGGGAGATCAACTGCCTGATGAAGCAGCTGACTTGATCAGTTGTGCTATTTAATCTAGCCAGGCTACAAACCCCATCACTGAAGTGTTATTACAAAGGAGGCTTTTTCATTGAATGTGAGCTTTGTACTTGCTTATAGTATACACTGATGGAAGGAATAAGCAAGTGTCCCAGATATTTTGCACTATAGCTCTCACAGTTCCTTGCCAATTATCCTGACTGAGGCTGAGGGAAACTGAAGCTCAAAATGCCTTCCAGGTGTGAGATTATTTTGATCTACAACAGGGAATGTGGGGAAGGTTAATACAGGATGGGCTTTATAGGGTAATTCACCTTATGAGCAAGACTACATTCATATTTCATATAGGTAGGGTGAGAACCATCAAACAGATAAACAAAATAGATTCTCAGAGCTTACTGTTCCATTTATGCCCAGCAGGGGGAACCAATCCACCTCAACCAGGAATGAGGCAGAGCTAATGGCAATTGCTTTATTAGACAGAGTTAAAACTGGTTTTGAAAGGTGATGGATATGCTCTCAAAAACAATTAGACACTCATAACCCACATGGTCTACTAAGATGGTAGCATATCTATGCTTTGATGCATTAAAGATTAACAGGGAAATTGCGCCGATTGTTCCCATAACGTGACATTGTGGGATCAAACTTATCATTTGATTCTTTACGACATGCTGCATTTTATAGGAATGCATCAATATGCCATTAAGAAACTGGCCAGAGAGGCAAACCGCACATGACATCTCTGCATCAGGGATTACTCCTGGACCAATTGCTTACTGAACAAGTAAAGGCAAATGTGGGAAACTCTGCTAGATCAGGATATTGACTCTCCCCCATTCCCAGCTGCTGAAAACTGTGGTGAGCAAAGCAGTGATTATTATTGTTATTCAACATTATTAAGGAAAGTAGGGCTTTTGGTCGCTTTCCTCCATTTTCGCTGTCCTATGGAGGGGATTTTTAACTTTAAAGTGCACTAAAACGCACTCGACCTAAATGGGAGGATTACCACTTTCAATTTTCCTTAGTTTCCTATAGCATTAATTGGGAAATAAGTCTGGCATTATTAGGCGGCTTGACATAAAATCTGGGAAAGTATAAATGTAAGGATTCTGGGAGATTAAAAACAAAACAAATTACAGGCATGGGGTTCCCAAGAGAAAGAAGAAGGAAGCTAATAAGAGGGCAATGGGGAGACTTTTACCCCAGACAATAAGCTCTGCAGAAGCTTCATCAACTCCACGCGAGTTAGTAGCCAGGCAAATGTAGCTGCCAGCGTCTGAGATCCGTGAAGGGCTGATGAGGAGGCTTCCTGACTCTAGCAATGTAAATCGAGGAAGCTGTACTGAGCCACTGGCCAGGATCCTTTCACCTGCAGGAGAAAAGGGAGACTTCATTGCGTGGTGAGTGGTGACTCTCGTCGAGGCTGCCCATGGATTTTGTCAAATCACCAATTCTGATCTCAGCGCTAGAGATCTGTAAACCTAGCAGCCCAGCCAGGCACAGAGGAAATGATTGGCAGATTTGTCAACTGTTTCTTCTTCCTCTGTGTGGATGAGCTTCAACCTACCTATGATTTATGAATTCGAAGGGCCTCAAAGAGGAAATGTTGGCTTTAGAACATATCATAAAATACGGGCTCGGCTGGTGACACCGCTTGGAATGTAAATTTGCAGAATAAAGCAAAGGAGCATAAACTTTTCCTGTGCAACTGAGGGAGATATAAAAGTAAAAGTTTGAGTTGCCTGGAAGCACAGGGCTGGATTTTAGGTGGGTAGGAAGTCTTCTCATCTTTTGCAGGAAAGGAGAACAATGCTCTTCAGGTATTTTGGACTATAATTCCCATACCCATTACACATTTGGTCAAGTGGGTTGGAACTATCATAAATATCTGGATTGCCTCCTTTTTTTTGTTCTTTCAAGCTACTCATTGATCATTTATTCATTTCTATACCTCTAATACCCTCAGACTAAATCTTTCTTCCCCAGTTAATCCACCCCATCAGCAGGCTTTAAATGGGAGTAGGGGGAGTAGGGGAGTAGGGGGTCATAATTTGTTAATGGCTTAGCCCTAGTTCTTCCTATGATTTGAAATGTAATCTCCCTTGCTCTCAATTCTAATTCTTTATCTTCTTATCCCAGAGGCATCTTATTGTAGGGCTAATATTTCTGAAATACACTCTCTGATCTAAAGCAATATGCTCCAGGTAGGATTAAATATTTGGTTGTAGATACAGGAGATATAATACCCTAGGGTACCTGATCAAAGGTACCCTGTAAGGGTCATACTAAAGGGAACTCAGTAACTTTAAAAAACGTAGAGTTGTTTTAGGTTCAGTGAGGCTATGAAGTTGTTAAGAAAAACCAAATCCATGGGTCATTCCAGCCCAGTTCAATGAGTGGACTTTCCCATCACAATTTTACTGGTGTTCAGTTGTATCCTTCACATCTTTCACAGAAATAGATCCTCTTTGGTATACATGAATGTACTGGCCTAGAAACCAGGAGATTGTGATTTCTAATCCTGCCTTAGGCATGAAAGCTGGCTGGGTCCAGTCACTTTCTCTCAGTCCAGTTCATCTCACAGGATTATTATTGTGGGGAAAATAGGAGGAAGAAGGTATATTGGATATGTTTGCCACCTCGACGTACTTATAAAGTAATAAAGGCAGCATCAAAAAAAATCTAATGAACAAATATAAAATAAATTCCCAAAATTTGTTCACACATTTGAGGCCACGCAAAGGAGTTCAGAGGGAGTGAGAAAAAAAGGAGACTTTCTATCGTGCGAAAAGAAATCAAGTTTCAAAACCTGATGCTTCAACCCCTCTTGCAAAATACGTAGCTCTGCCATCTTAGTTTCTTGTGTGCCTGATTCCTGTGTTTCCAAAGCATGAATAGTTTCCCAATTCACCATTACCTTTCTGCCAGGTGATAGCTGGTCTGGGAGCTCCAGACGTCTCGCAGCTGAGAACCACAGCCATTCCATCAATCACCGTGCTGTCCAAGGGCCCTCTGGTTATGTTGGGCGCAATGCCTATAAATGAGGGAGAGATGAGAAGAATACTTATAGGAAGAGTTTTGAACTACAAGAACTCAGATAACAGATAATCAGAGTTGGAAGGGACCTTGTAGGTCACCTAGTCCAACCTCCTGCCCAAGCGGGAGACCCTACACCTTCTTCTTCTTCTTCTTTTTCTTCAGCGTTTGTCTCGCACTCTGGCGAGGTCCGCTAATGTCCTTGAGTACTGCTTCCACGCCTCTCTGTCTGCCACGTATGTCGGGTCTGCCTTCGCGATCTCTAGATCGGCCTTGATCGTGTCCATCCAGCGTTGCTTAGGTCTACCACGCGGTCTCGCTCCTCCGACAATCACCTTCATCGCAGATTTGATGATGGATTCTTCCTTGGCGCGACTCACATGGCCGAACCATCGTAGCCGGGACTGCCTCATGACCGTGGGGATGGGCACGACGTTGAACCGTCTGCGCACTTCTTCATTCCTGACGCGATCGAGTAGGGTGAGGCCTACCGACCATCGGAGCATTCGCATCTCCATCGTCTGGAGTCTGCTTTCGACTTCTTTGGTCGTCGGCCAGCACTCTGCGCCGTATATGGCCACGGGGCGCACCACAGAGTTATAGATTTTCGCCTTCAGGCGCATCGGCATCTTCTTGTCACAGAGGACACCCGTGACGGACTTCCATTTGCCCCACGCTGCGTTGATCCTGGCTGCCACCTCAGTTTGTAGTAGGCCTTCTTCCCCAAGAGTAGTTCCCAGGTACTTGAAGGTGGAGGCACGCGGTAGCTCCTGCCCGTTCACGTGGATGGAGCCTGTCGTTTCGTTGTCAGTGGTCAGGTATGTCAGTGGACCCTACACCATTTCTGACAAATGGCAGTCCAATCTTTTCTTGAAAGCCTCAAGTGATGACGCTCCCACAACTTCCGAGGGCAAGCTGTTCTATTCGTTGATTGTTCTCACTGTCAGAAAATTTCTCCTTATTTCCAGGTTAAATCTCTCCTTGTTCAGTTTCCATCCATTATTCCTTGTCTGGCCTTCAGGTGCTTTGGAAAATAGCTTGACCCCTTCCTCTCTGTGGCAACCCCTCAAACTCTTAATGCAACACAACACTGAATTTTATTTCCCTGACACCCCACTCCAAAGCCCACCATACTTGAACAGAAATGAAGTAATTCAAAAGACCGTGTAAGGTCACGGGTCCATTTTGGCTCAGGTTTAATAATGGATATCATGCCATGCTTTGCGTTGTGGAAATCATCTCTCAGTGAAACAGAGGGAGAACCTGCTATTTATAAAATTTCCATTCTGCTCTCCAAAGACATCTTGCTCTTCCTTGAAGATGAATCCTGCTCTACAAAACAGCATTCACTTCCTATATTTTGTTTCCTTTCTTGGCTTTAATCTCCTGGGTCTTCTGTTTGAGCAGGACTAGAAGTCCTCCAAGGTCCTTTCCAACTTTTTTTGGGGGGTATAATTTTTATTTTTTTCTTATTTACAAACATATCATTGTGTGAACAGTGTGGTACCAGGGTGTCTTACATTTTAAAACAAATATGACAATTTTGTTCATATTCAATACAGTTGACAATCTTATAAATTTTCATATTAATACACATATATTCTTTGATTATTCACCATTTCAGTATCTTATTTTTATGTCGATCTCCATATGCTAAATATCCTTCTTTTCCTACAGGTAGAATATTATTAATCATATTTGTAGTGTTTAACAGATTTATGTGATGATGATGATGATGATGATGATGATGATTAATAATAATAATAATAATAATAATAATAATAATAATAATAATAATA